GGGCAGAATAAAAAGGGATGGTTTTTGTAAGAAATGCAATTAAACGTTATTGACAAGATTAAGATCTTCAATTAACACATAAAAAAAGTTTTGTTACGATTGAAAAGGCAACCCTGCTTAAAAAATACGATAGAATTCGATAAGAAACGGTAAAACTAATTGCCGATTTCAATCGTTTTCTATCAGTCCTATCTACATCAAGTTGAAGTGATGATAGAGTTTCTATATCTAATGTAATCTGAACCTATCATGTTGTTGCTTTATCGTAATAATACGATAGAAATTTAATCTATACCTATATGTATTTTCATATAAGCAGTACGTCTATGTATGGTAATATGAAATTCACGTTCTATTACGTATATGATGCTATATGATTCTATATGAATCATATTTTTACATGTATTAATATGAAAATGCGTAATAGGAATCGAATCGTTTTCTATTGTCACCAACTTATTAGGGAAGAATATGAAATACACGATAACCTTGTTATATGGCTTAATAACAAATGGTTTTCCTAACAATTATCATGAATTTAAGGATGTATTGCACGTACATTTCCCACCGAGAATCTGATGTGATTCGAATTTGAGTGCTTTGACACGAGAATAAAAACTGAAAAAAATCGACGTCTTGGAAGATAGGAAGAATGTTTATTTTTAATAATCATGCCAAAAAGTTACTAATAAATGAATTAAAAAAAATTATTTTACATATTCGATAGAAAACTTTCATATGAAATGAAGTCTCTAATTTTTCCGATAAAAAAAAGTATTCTTAATATGTCCAAGATGCTGATTTTTGTCAATTTTTTCCCTTATCGCAAGATACTCAACGAAATCAATCTTTTGGTTGAGAATTTATGTACAATGCATTCTTAATACAGTTAACTAGCGATCAATTTGTCGTGTCATGCATAAAGTCATCCTGTATAATATGCAATAATAAACCTATTAAAAACGATAAACAATTGATCTGCTTCTTTTTGCATAAAACGATAGAAATTGTATAGGAAATATTAGATAACAAATCCAAATTTTACGAACCAAAAACACGATTGCATTAGATAGGATTTTTTTTAAATCGTTTTCTATCGTTTTTTTTAAGCAGGGAAATTAAAGCAATGTAACGCGGTCTCAATGGGTCATAGGTCACACACACATAGGAGTAGTTCACCCCTTAAACGAGGTTTTCCGAAAAACGCAAAGATATGTATCTCCTATTTTTTCGAAGTTTTTCAAATGTAATTGGTTTCATTAAAATTCGCTTGAAAAGTTTTTGTTATAATAAGTTTGAATGTTACAAACCCCTATAAATTTTAAGGAATTTACCCCATCAGATCCGAACATAATGCATATATCATAATTCGCCATGAGCATTATTCTCCAATTGATTTCATTTAAATATCTTGAATGGAAATACATATGCAAAACTTCAAAAATCGTCCTGTAGGTACCCAACTTTGGGGGTTGATTTCACCCCCTTAAACCGTTTTTCCGCAGATAAAAAGAAAATACGTGTCACTTACATTTCAATGGAGAAAAGCATATCTCAGCACGAACTAAATCGAAGGGGGGCAGCTTTGCAAGGTTTCCTTGTAAGAGGACTACAATCTCAAGGCTGCTGGCCAGCTTTTGTATGTTTGCACACAACATGGGGAGTGATGATATGAAGCGAAGAAAGCTTTACAACCATATCAGATCAACCATTTATAGTTTTTGCAATCTTAATGCCAAATTCGTGTTTCCTCTAATCAAAAACCCTTATATACCGACTACCTCAAAATAATGCAGTTTTTTGCGATACCGTAGTTTACAAACTTTGATGTAATAGAACACGCCTAGCAGTTTTTGCCAGGACACACTTGATGCGTTATTATGCACGTGCCAGTCAAGTGATTAGTCGTATATAATAACAGTCTTATTTTTCATTTCGTAATTATTTTGGAAGATATTTTCACTCATTATTCCACAGGCACAGTGGAACCTTGATTAACAATTAAAATGTGCGGAACTAGAAAGTATCGCAGATATATGATAATTATGAATAATCCAGCCAAATCCAAATTATAAATTATATAAACACTGTATCTAGTTACAGAAAATTATACTGTTTAAGTTTGAACGTAAGTTTAGTTACACTTAGAATGAGGTTCGCTGAGCTGAGATTTAAATTTGAGCGGTAAAACTAGGTTTTAATGATATACATATATATAAACTAGTAAATCTTAACATCCTTTGTTTTCCGATTTGCAATATCATGCAAGTTCTAATTAACAGTGCATCTATTGCACGCATTATAGAACGCACAGAGTACGGCGAGTTAAGTATACCGACTAATATCGCGGGTAGCCCGGTTAACCTTTTGAACGCAGACCTCTTCAAATTTAAACGCTTATCAGACCTATATATAAGTAAGAAAATGAAGAAACGTACCACCCCTGATGAATTCTGTTGGCAAATCCGCCAATGGGTACCATTTCTTTGTCCGAAAATCAAAGCATTCTACACTTTTAGCAGCTTTTGGTAAACTACCACCAACTACTACTAGCAATTTTGGTAGCTCGTGAGGTACTCTAGATTTGGTCCTTGATGTCTCAAACAGAGATTCTCCTGCTTCTTTGAATAACTGATATTTCAAAGCTTCTATCAAGTAGTCTTGAACTGCAAAATAACGTATTTTATTTTATAAGACTCAGAATTTAAAAAATTTAGTGATTATTTCTCACTAATTTACTTACACTGTGAACTCGCTTTGATCATCTTCTCTTCCCACACTCTTTCCAACAGATACTTGTGGGACATCAGCGGTAGCCGTACTTGTTCAATTAATAATGTTAGACATTCCTCTCTCTTCTCTTTGTCATGATTAATCCACAATATCACGGAATCGAACACGATTTCCTCAGAAGGAACTGCAAGACGGTCATTAGAAATAAGTTTCAGTAGTGTTTGTGCAGGCAATGAAAGAAACTCTTCATACTGTATAACATCTCTGTAAGAATTATTATTTCATGGTACTTCTAACTCTATAGATTTATATGGCAATTTAAAATAGGTGCAGTTCTTACGAGAAATAATGCTCAATGTAACCATTTGTTTGAGCGAGAAGTTCAAAACAGTCATATTGATTAGCAAATGCTCTTATTCCCAGACAGTTGGAAGGATGTAATTGTCTCAAGAGAAAGTCACTACATGCATTGACGGCAACAGTTAGTTGTAGGAGATTCGCAACTGCCAGTAAAGACTGTACGTTACATTCGGTTATGTGAATTTGGGTGGAATATATAAAATTGATCAAAAGCTTCAGAATAGCATGATTTATTCCATTAAGCATGATACGGTTCTCTTCATTTTTACCAAAGTTCCCAAACATTGCGTAAAAATAAGGACTGCATGCGCTTAAGATCATTTTATGAGCTGTTATTTCCAACCCATCATCAGTCACCAAGGTTACGTCACTCATCATATTTATCCTATGGAATATAGTTGTTCTCTTAAATCTGTATTATTTTGAACCCTTCGAAGCATACATTTTTCTAATGATTGGATTTTTATGAAATTTGGTATATACAGATTTTTGGGGTCGCTGATTAGGAATCCGTTAACAAATTTTCAAAATTCAAAATGACGGATTCAAGAAAGCGGCTGCCGAAATGAAAAACCGCGGTAATATTGGTGAAAATATAAATTTGGGTAGGTTTTCGGGCTCACTGATTATGGATGTAAAATTGAAATTTGATCATTCAAAAATTCACTCATTCTTGGCACGATCCAGAACTAAGGGCGTGCCGAGTTCTAACTCCACTTTCTTTTTGTGATTTTGAAATATTTTTTTTGATTTTCATGATTGTGAAAAGTATGGAATCTATACCAGGGATTCGTAATCAGCGACCCCAAGAACTCCCAGATATACATTTTCGTGAGATTACATCGTTTTTCGATCTCGAGTTCGCCATATTGGATCCACCGTTTTGAATTTCTGAATTTTTAGTTCCGATTCGTAATAAACGATCCAAAAAACCTCTAAGAACTAAGTCTCGAGCAAATATGCATAATCGCGTCGTAGAAAATACATTTTTTGTAAATAAGACTGATTTCCACGATTTGCTTATTTATGACTCTATGGTAATCAACGCACCATGCTTCAAAGGGTTAACATGAAAGCTCATAACGGAAAAAAATCTTTAAACTCGATAATTTAAAAGTAATAAAATATTTCTCCATGTGTCACAAGTAAAATTGTAACTCAATTCATGCTTGATTATAAAGTTAAATTAAATTTTTTATTTTGTTATATTTAATTCTCTATAAGAAACTAATTCAATAATAATATCTAATGGTATAGAAAATCTTTAACGAAAAAAGATTGAGTCGCAAACTTGATCAGTACCCTACGTATCGGCTACGTACATACACACATAGATCAAATATCTAAGCATGTATTGCTGTGCACGTGCATTCTATTAGCGCCAATATTGCTGAACGTTTTCTACTGGATATTGGCTTGTAATAAAATACACACTTTGATGTAGGATGTGTGCATACTCATGTAGTGAATAGTTAGCAAAAAAATAAATATTAAGATAGAGAAATGTTTCCCAACCATAATAATTTTATTAGAATTGTGAAATGAAAATGAAAATTGATAAAAATTGGCATTACTTTTGCATTTCATTTATGATATCAAAAGCCCTATTAGCAAGATGACTGCTCCTGTATATTGGTATTTCCTCTCCATTATGTCTGGTTACATATCTGTCGAAACTTGGATCGAAAGAATGCTCTACAAGTGAATGCAACTGTGGCCAACTGAAAAATCAACACCATAAGTGAGTACTACATGTAAAATGTATCAACAACAAAAGTACTTCATATATTGACAAAAATTGTTACACAAAATACTGTCATCATATTTTTAACACAAAAAGTTTAAGGTTGGTAGGTATAGTCAAAGTGATAAGTGGCTCAAATTTTCAAAGAATATTTATCAATATACATTATAAAAATGTCTAGATGGTATTTTATATATTTACAATATCTTAAACAAAAATCAAAGATATCATCTGCACCAATTAGCAGTGGCAACCAAAGATTTAAACATTAAAAAAAATTGGACATATATTGCAGTAATCCTACTACTGAGTCTATCATGCACTCCTGCTTATACCATTATAATTCTGAAATGTTTCTTTAATCCTCTATATAGTTTTAATTCTCTGAACGTGTTTCAAGAACTTATAAAAGTTTTAAATCTCATATTAAATCTTCCTATTTACTTTTTGATTATTGAAATTGAAATAATATTTAATCTATCAATACTTTATCAGTTGTAGTAACTAATTGTTATAAATTACCCTCTAAACAAATGTTTACTTAACAGTTACAAATATTTATAATGATTTTATATTTATTTTTTCATATCACTGGTAGCTTTTCCATAAAATTATAAATTAAAGTTTGCACGATTGCATAATATAGCTATTTCCAACCACCTTACCAATTCCATGTTAAGTTCATTCTCCTATACTATCAGCCATAAGTAGATCAGATTTTAAATATCTAATACCCTTAATTTGTCATATTGTATACAATTTTCCACACAGATTCTATGAAAAAAAGTTACTGTAGGTGTTCATTATGTGTTACAATTCTTACCTGCCATTCTTTTCTTGATTGTTGCCCTTATTGTTCATATTTAGATTTTCATTTTGATCTGTTTCATCCATTTGTGCTTTTTACTATTGTAACCTCGTCGTCTCTCAAAGTGGATGGTTGTGCAAAAAATCAGTCTGTTTTACATACACTCGTTTGATAGTAGCTGTTTTTATGTAATTATTGGATTATGAAAAAGACAATTAAGAAAAAATATATACAAAAATATAGTTGATCCACTAGCAAAATAGTTTAAAGCGACAAATGGAAAAACACAAGGCTCGTAGTAAAATTTCCAGTTATCAATGCTTTTTTGGTAATGTGTGATAAATAAATAGAAATTCATTACCTTCGTCAAAAGAGCTTTGATAATTAGGAAATTTTGCTAAGAGAATCACTAGCACGAAACACGTGTTCCCACCTATCAGTTTAAACTGTTTTACACGTGAACAAACTAGAAGTCACATGATAATAAATATACTTTCTACTGTTCAATGAAGAAAATACGATTACCAAGGAAAACTGATTTTTGTTTAGCATTATTGGATAATGAATGACGAAAATTTCAAAACGATTATCATGAAGATTGAGTAGGCTACCGATCCGTTAATTCCCGGTTTTTCGCGCTCGCTAACCTATATCCCGGCTGAGCCCCCAATTATTGTAGGATCTTTTATATAGGTATAGATAGGGAAGGCGCGAAATCACTGCTCTCGTAACTTGGAGGTTTCTCTTTTTATTTTGTCCGGCCTTTACAACGTCGTGTCCATTCCTGCCCGTACATCTTTCTCCTATATCCATCCATCCACACGCATACACACCGAGACATTCGCTTCTATAAGCCTAGGATGAGCAGCCTAGGCTTGTCTATTATTGTTTTTCTTTTTCATCTACTTGAATCCTACAATATTCTAAGTAATTCAGTCGAGAATGAAGTTTAACTAAATGTGAAACTGTACTGTACCGTGAATTAAAGAACAATCAAATTATTTAATCTGATTAAAATATCATAGATACTTGCATAATTGTACAGAATGAAATAACGAGCGACACACAACTAACAGAATATGAAAGACCGTTACAGTCACAGGTTCAAATGCGATAGAGAAAGGGTTTTTCCCTTTTCTTTTTTCGATTATCCCATATCGAAACAGAGAGGAAGTGCCAGAAAGGAACCAATAACGATGTAATGCTGATAAATAGTACGAGTATTCCTATTCGTCGAGCCGCTCTGTGTTTAGTTGCAACATTGCATCGGCGCTGGACTACTCACTGTAGCCGCAGAAAGTGTAATATAGGCTGGCTGCACACGAGCAGCAAATGGACGCGAAGACGCGGCGTCCATTGGACGCTGCGTTCAGAGTGTTTTGGGAGAATGGTGCAGTGGCAGGCAACATTACGATTTTTCCGGCGCCTTAATTTGATTGTTGTTTTGAGTAATAATTCTGACATGGAACAAAAAAGTATATACATATGTCTTATAGGTCTAACTCATGCAGTTTCCGAGATATATTGATTTTTAACCAACCTAAAGAACTTAAAGAACCCATTAAAGCATTGATCAATGCGTAAGTAAATTTGCTCACTTCACTCGCTCGCCGACGATTCTTATTTATCTAAAACACCATGAGGATCCCTTATTTTATTTTTATTATAAATTATATTATTATTATATTATTATATTTATATTATATTATTATATAATATTATGTTATTATATTGTTTTATTTTTTTTTCATAAATAAAATCGTAGGAATAAAAATCGAGGAGTGGGAAAATGAGAATCTAGTCATAGTCATAAAAAATCAATATATCTCGGAAACTGCAAGAGTTAGACCTATAAGACATACATATTTTTTTGATCCACGTGAGAAGTACTACCAGAGATGAGTAGAGTACTACCCACAGCAAAAGTCAAATTAAGACGCTGGAGAAATCGTAATCTCCCCCAGCGGTAAGGCGTCACGTGTGCATTATACCATTCTCCCAAAACACTCTGTGGACGCAGCGTCTCCAGTGGATGCAGGATGCAATGGACGCTGCGTCCTCTCGTCCATTCGCCGCTCGTGTGCACCCAAGCTAAAGTAGGACGAACACTCATGAAAGAAGTGGTAGGGATCGATTGTGTAAATCAAATGTAGTAAAAATGCTAAGAGTAAATAGCTCTTAGCCAATCGCGTGTTAGATTTAAAAGGAGACAAGCACAACGATTGGCTAACAGCTATTCACTTTTCGTATTTTCACTATATTTGAGTTACACAATCGACCCCCTTATGTCCGCATCACGATCTTGTATACAGGTCTGGGCACTTCCCTATCCTCACCATGTTGTAGATCGTAACCGTAACGTGGACAATCTTGTCCGCAAGCGCTAGTGTCGAGAATGCACGCATGCGCATCCGTAAATTCACTGCAACCTCTTATCTCTGATTCAAAAGAAAAGTTACACACAAAAAACCGATGCAATGCCAATTAAATAAAATTTAAGAATCTAATTTTAAAGTTAGACAAATAAAGAATTGATGATTTAAAAAACTGAAGTTAAATGGACCAATTCACCTAAAAGTCATGAAAATTAAATGATGCTATAACTGCGTATATACTGAAAACTTTTAACTTGATGAAAATACCTCTGGACAAGTACAAAAAGTGAAATATCTGCAGAAGTAGAATTTTTTTCGTAGCTAAGTTCAATAGTATAAATATTTTCTCTCTTTTGCACTTGTTGAATTTATGTTGCATATGAAATATATGAAATTGGTTCTACAAGGTCCAATTCTCTTTGTAAAAAGACTTTCTCCGGTTTTAGTGTAGGAATTTTCAATGAAAAATCTTTCACAGGAGATATACTAACGTATACAGTCAATTTTTGCTTGTATCGTAACTTTTTTACTGAATTTATTTGTAACTCCTGTGAGATTTTCAAATGCAAATTCCTACCATTGTGATTCAAGCAGGCACGATGCACTTTTTGGTCATTCTTGCTTCTTTCAATTACAATCACAGTATATATTACACATTACGAACAAAGCTGCAGGTCACGTATTCAAAAAAAAGATAACTGCGCACGCGTAGTGGTACCACGTGATTCGCATTCTCAACACTAACGCCTCTGGCGGTAGATCCACCTTAAGGTTACGCGTTTTTCGCCTAAGTGCCCAGACCTGTATACAAGACCGTGTGTCGAATAAATTGATAAAATGGCGAAGACTTTATTTCCGGCAATTAAATTTAATTATTAAATACATAGTTAACTTCAATACTTATACCTCAAATCTAGACACACTAATGATATATTGGTAAAGAAAAAGTAATTATGTCACCAAGAACAATGTCCAACACACATTTTGGCAATTTGTAGTATAGGTTAACGCTTGTGCACCAGGAAAATATTGTTTTAAAACTGTTAAACGTAAAATCCCATTTTCGTTTAATGGCAGAGACAACAGTCTCTCGTTGTGTCAAATTTTTACTTTTTTTTGCATTCATTCTAATACAACCACAGTGAATAATATCTAGCACCAAGAATACAACCTGGGACATACTGATAAAACGGGCCCAACCTAATAGGATTTGTGTCTTTTTCTGACGACTGCCATAAAGTTCGTTTCAGGTCTAGAACACATACTCTTTTTAACAATATCCTATGGATGTATCTAGTTTTGAGGTATAACTGTTGAAGTTAACTATTTAATAATTAAATTATTCCACTTTTTCGTGGTGGGGGGTAGTCCCTCTTAAGGTCGGAGCACATAAAATTCCATAAGCCATAAAAGTTAACTATTTAATAATTAAATTATTCCACTTTTTCGTGGTGGGGGGTAGTCCCTCTTAAGGTCGGAGCACATAAAATTCCATAAGCCATAAACGAATGCAGATACATAGCGCATGCGCTCTTCAAAATGTCGAGTTAGCAGTGCGCGTGCGCTATGTCTTCTGTATTCTGCTTACGGTCTATGGAATTTCAACCCACGTAAAAGTCCATAGTCTATAGGACCATTATAGGCATAAAGTGGCATCAACAGACTGTAATAAACGCGAACAAGAAGTGAATAGCATCAGATATTTCGAATATTTCGATGCTATTCACTTCTTGTTCGCGAATATTTCGAATATTTCGATGCTGTTCACTTCTTGTTCGCGTTTATTGCAGTCTGTTGATGCCACTTTAGGCCTATAATGGTCCTATGGACTATGGACTTTTATGTCGGTTGAAACTCCAGAGGCCGTAAGCAGAATGCAGAAAACATAGCGCACGCGCACTGCTAACTCGACATTTGAAGAGCGCATGCGCTATGTATCTGCATTCTGCTTATGGCTTATGGAATTTTATGTGCTCCGGCCTTAAGCGGGACTACCCCCACCACGTTCGTTTCCAGACCTGTATGTAAGACCCCGGTCTGACCTGAAACTCTGGTGGTGGGGGTGGGTCGCTCAGCGATGCCATTCCGAATAGCTGTATAGAGTCGCTGTGATCGAGTAATCGTATGGATGAGGGACGCGGGGAGCCGGGAGGATCACTCCATCTTTGTCCTATTCGTGGTTTCCACGGTGGCATCGCTTGAATGTTGACTATAAGTAGCTACGCGAAACAATTTATAATGTCTAGCAAAAAGCGACATGAATATTGCGAGCTTTTGTTAACTGTCTGCACGATTGCAGGTTATGTTTATCGGCGGTACCCGAAAACAGCGACGCTGTTTGAAACTAAATTCAACCTCAGTAAGCGACCATACCCCCACCACTGAAATTCGAGGAAGTTCCAAGACCTGTATGCAAGACCGTGTGTAAGACCGTGCCAGAGATCACAGAAGTATACTTCAAAGTTTTCTGACAAAACTCGATTTCGAGGTTATGTTGATCAAGCTCATTCGATAGAGTAGCGACCACGGTCTTAAATACAGTTCTGGAAACGAACGCGGTGGAGGTAGTCTCGCTTATAGCCGTATTCATAGTCTGTCCTGATCTCAAGGATGAAAGACGCCTTGATGAAGGCTTCCTTCAATGTTTATAGCGTCTATGTTTCATAGTCACACCTCGGCTCTTCCTTCCAGAAGGACGGTATATTTTAGGGACATGTAATTGCCTATAGTGGCAGGACTGGCCACCACCTCAGTCCCTTTTTGTCTATTCAAACAGCATTTTTTCAAAGAGTTTGAAAAAGGGATCGCGTAGTCTATACTATAAGCCAAGCCAAGATACACCTTAAATTTTCTTTCCAGGTGTTGACTTTACGCAGTCCAGGTAAAATTAAGAAAAAACAACAATGCGTATTTATTTTACGTTTCGACCCTCATTGGGATCATCTTCAGAAAGGTTTTATTACTAGGTAAACATGTATGAACTGTTGAACAATCATTTGTTAGATTCTGTAAAAAATAGTAGGCCAAACCTAAAGCCATAGTTAATAGATCAGCTATGGTTCTTTTTAACTTTTGGCTAATCCTGCCTTTACATGTAACACACAAACTCTTGTTGGTTTAGCCTACTATTTTTTACACAATCTAACAAATGATTGTTCAACAGTTCATACATGTTTACCTAGTAATAAAACATTCCTGAAGATGACCCCAATGAGAGTCGAAACGTAAAAGAAATACGCACTGTCTTTTTTTCATAATTTTACGTGGATTGCATAAGGTCAACACCTGGAAAGAAAATTGATGATTAAAACCAGCCGACAATTTCAATAACTGATAAGATACATCTTTGCTGCCTGAGCTGGGCTAGCTGCTAACTCGGGCCGCTTGTGGCGCTAGACATATCAAACGAAATAGCCAATCACAGTGCAGAAGGTATCCTCAAGGAAACTCGAGACCTCCCTTGAAATAAGGAGGCCAATAAGGCTCCTTGTTCTGTAAAGGAAGGTCTATGAAACGCGAAACGAGGAACAAGGGATCCATATTCCTCAAGGAACGACTATGAATACGGCTATTAGTGTCCAAATTCGGTAACTCCGATTTACGACACAAGGTGCGCCACCCGTACAGGGGTATGCAGAGATGAGTAGGGAGATTGCAGCTCGCCAAAGTTAGCCCCCCCACTTTGACTTTCGATATTTTTCTTTCTACCAATCGATTGGTGGTATTTGGTAGTCCATTCAAAACGTTTGGTGATTTTTGGTTTACTTTTAAAATTTATAACAAATTTTTAGCATTAACATAGCCCCCCTCCCACTTCGACTTTTGACATTTTTCTTTTTATCAATCGATTGGTGGTCGTTTGGTGGTAT